CCTCCTCCCAGAACTGTAAATGTCATCAGGAAGCGATGTTAGTCTCTCACTTGATTTTTTTCCCTAATGCCACTTGCTATATGACAAGGGAGACATGTATTAACCTGACAATGGTTGACATTTACTCAAATCTGATGATATTGAAATGTCAAATATGAAAATTCCCAATCCGTTAGCTCAGTTCTTGTTTCTGGCTAGGGCTGGGGTATAGAAAGAGATTAGACATTGCAAATAGTTCTGTTTCTGGGATACTCTGGGCTGTGGGATAAGCTCAAAGCCCTCGGCACACCTTATCCTTTCTTCTTCTCTCACAGTTTGAGGGAAAGGCACCTGGGAGCTGAGTGTGTGAGGTTGGCTGTGCCCTGTAACAATACCCTTGCCATCACTCCTTGGGCCCAGAAAATAGTAAACCTGACATAACAGCAGCCACAGGGGGCCTCTACCCCTTGTGAAGAGCTTCCTACTGTTGAGCCTGCTTTATTGTTTTGTTTTGTTTTTATAATCCACCTCATGAAGGAAAAGGCAGCTTTTTCTTAACTTAAATTTTTTCTCAACTCAGCCCTCTGTTCTGAGAAACTATAAACTGACATATGTTTGAGATTTATACATCTCATATTTACTGGCCATTACATGCCAGGTTGTGTACTTTCTCTTTCTTTTTACATACTAAAATTACCTTCTGGCTTAGTAAATGTGTATGGTAGAACTTGTAATTTTACCCCATCCCCAGTCCTTTGAAAAGGACCCCCTTTTCCATAGAGATGTTTACCATTTAGCCAGCTCTGCCTGGGGTTATTGCGAGCTGTGCTAGCTAGAGGCCATGAACATGGTGGTGGTGTTGTCTTTTGTGGATCCAGCTTCAAAAAATCTTACTTCATTAGTGTCACCAAGAAGAAAAGCGTAAGTCGAGAGTGTTGTCTTATGTGTATACTGTTCTGATGTTAATCTACTTAAATAGTGGGTTGAAAAATCAATTCCCAAGCCTAGTCTTGGCAGCAGACTTCAGAATTACTTAGGATATGAATATATTATGCATATATCCAGTCGTGACACAATTTGCTAGCTCTACTTTGGGAGCTAAGTAGAAATAAGGGACCATACATATTGATAGTTTCATGACAGTAGACCTTTAAATAAGCAGAAACAGAATTTCTCATATTTTCTTTCTTGCAGTGTTTCCTTGTAACTTTGCAAATTAAAATTTAAAATGTGAGAATGTTGTCTTAATACTGCAAATGTTGAAAGCACTCTCAAGTAGAATTGATATTTCATGTGCAATTTTAAAACGCTGTCTTACTGCTAGTCTGAGGCTTTGAAGTTTTACAAAATGATAATTAAGTATGCATAAATTATTTATTTTTTAAAGCCAGTATCTTACTATTATAGTCCAGGGTAGGCTTGAATTTATGATCTCCTACTGCAGTCTTCCAAATTCTGCTGAAACCAGCACATGACAATAAGTCAGCTATCACAAGTGTTTTTAAAAAGAAGCAATGTGATGTAGAACTTGGTGAGTGAAGACTCATGCTCACTTGCTGTGTGATCTTGGATAAGCTACTAACTAACTTCTTTTGGATAGGGCATAATTTCATAATAAGCACACTTATTCCACTTTCTTTATTTAAAAAGAATCACATGTTGTTCGAGAGTGACTTGGGACATTTGTAGTCGTGCTTGTAAAATTATAACACATGTGTGCGCGCGCACGCGCGCGCACACACACACACACACACACACACACACACACACACACACACACACACGATACACATAACATGCTCTTAGTACATAACTTCAGTTCAAGGACAAGAATGACCTGGGAAGAGAGTCTCAAGGAGAGATTGTTACATTGGTTTGGTCTGTGAGCATGTTTACTAGGGGTTCAACTTAATTGATATAGGCACAAGCCCACTTTAGGTGGCACCATTCCCTAGGGAAAAGGTCCTGAACTGTATAAGAGTAATCAAGCTGAACACAGGCAAGGAAGGGGCTGTGCTCTTTTCATGAATGTGACGTGATGTGATTAGCTGTTTGAGGTTCCTGCCATGACTTCCCCAAAATGATAGACTGTAAGCTGGAATTATAAACTGAAATAACCCCCTTTCTTCCCTAAATTGTTGTCAGGGTATTGTATCACAGCAGCAGAAATAAAACTAGAACATTTTCCTTTTTAAGTATGGTCTTGGAAAAGGTTAAAGTTCCTATTCTTTTGGGAGTTAGTACATACTTCATAGAACCTAATACTTTACCAGAGTTTAAGAAATAGAACAAATTAAAAGGTATATATGTGATGGCTTATACATTGTTTGTCTAAAAGAAGCAATCATATCAAACAATATTTATCTATATTTATTTATCTGAATTTTTATACATGTAAACAATTTATTTTGGTCATAATCATCCTTCAGGCTTCTTCCTCCTCCTAGGTCCCTCCTCTCAACCCACTCCCAACTTCAAGCCCTTTGTCTGTTTGTTTGCTTAATAACTGTATAAAAACTGACAAGATGGATACAAGATACAAGATGAAATCATGGTATGGTGAAGAAGAAGGTTTTTATTATAGACATAAGAAAGAGAACAGCCAGAAGCATCTGGAAGAATCCAGAACAGAGAGAGAAAGAAGCAGATTAAACATGAACAGAAGACAACAAGAGAATAGGAAATAGCAGGGAATAGAGAACAGAGAAAACATAGTGAGAGAAACAGGGCAAAGCATAAAGAAAACATACTGAGGATAGAAAGGTTTTAAGGAGAATGGGTAGCTGGGGGAATTTAGGGTAGGGTAGAGTAGGGTAGGGTAGGGTAGGGTAGAATAGGGGGTGGGAAGGGATAGAATGCTAGCATGCACTTTAAAATATATAACAGGTCCATATGATACTGAAGGAGTCTGGAGGCCAGCATGAGCTTTGATATTCTGATGGGCAGCACAGGTAGCCATGTGTCCCATCTGCCAGAGGTAATGGAAATGGCTCCTTTTGGTAGACAGGAACCTGCTTCACAAGTTCTGAAGAATTCTATCTTTTATCTAACCCTCAGAAATCCTCCTTTAGTGCAGGCTGGGCTCATTCATGGATATTTGGAGTGCCTTTTGGATTGGGGGAATTAGAGGTTATTTATTTATTTAGTTTTTGGCCTGACAATAGCCAGTGAGAATATGGCCACGCATACACACATGAGTATAGAGTTATACATTGGAGCACAAACAAGGTCCACATCACGGATGAAAACTGACCCATCCTTTTCCATCAGTCATCAGCTGCCAGTAGCCTCTCAGCTAGGGGGTGGAGCCTCTTGAGTCCCTCCCTTATCCATGTTGGGATATTGGCTCCCTTGATCATGTGCAAGTCTTGTGCAGGCAACCACAGCTGTGTGAGTTCATGGATGCAAAGACCAAGTCATGTCCAGAAGACACCGCTCTATGGCAGCCCTCCCCATCCTCTGCTTTCACAGTCATATTTGCCACCCTCTTCCTGAATATACCCTGAGCTTAGGGGAGAAGGTGTGACACAGATGTCCTATGGCTGAACACTCGCTATAGAAAATAAGTGACTGGTCAAACGGATCATAACTGAAAATCATATTTTGAATTGGCATAACATCATTTAGTGTTCTGCCACTGTTTGTTCAATAAAAATCATTTTTAAAGTTTCATTTTCTGAATGTTTGGGTTTAAAATGTGAACATTAGATGATGAAGTGGGAGGGAGAAAGAAGTGTTATTCTGGAACCAGACTTATTTTGTATTAACTACTGTAAAACCCTGCTCCCTTTCTCTGAGGATTGAAATCCTATTGCCATCTGACTCCGGTGCTTGCACAAATCAATTCAGTATGCCCTCCCAAGCCTGCTTCTTTAATAGAATTCTGATTATAGTCATGACTAGATTTTCCAAGTTACTTGTGAATACCTCCCTTACTTTAGGTCCCTGAATATTCTCTTATCTCCCCCAATTTTTCTAGCAAAATATAAATGGCAATTAGTTTTGAATGAACTGGTCATAATTTAATTTATTTCAGATACTCACTCCCTTTATAGCAATATATCTACCCTGTTCAACAAATATCTTATATTGGGCAAAGTAAGAATTTCAATTCTAGACCCTAAAATCAAGTTTTCTGACTCAGAGTGACTTGTTCCCTCTTGGGTATTACGTAACTTATACATAACTAAAACTGTCTATGAATTTGCTGATAAAGATGTAGGTAGAGAACATGGCTGGAAGGATCGCATGAGAAAGGCTCAATCCAGTTTCTGACAGAGTATGTACTTTAGCCGTAGCAAGTCTTACCATGCAAACATAAGAGACTCATTCGCCCCCCGTTTATGCATAAAGGTGTTCAAGAATTCACATTAGCTTAGAGCACCAAACAGATGTGTAAGCTCCAGTTTTACAGAATGATGCAGAAATTTGGAGCACATATAATGTAAACTTTACTCCACTGGCACAGATCTGTCAAAGGAGCTCCGGCACAGTATTGGTCAGAGATGTACATGTCTTTGGATGAGGTAATTTCCTAAACCAAGCTAGTACCACTCACATTATTAGAGAACTTCTGCCATTTTTTTTTTGCTTATTGTCTATGAGCCTCTGAGGAGCAAAGGGTTCCAAGAATGTTGTATTTCTAGCAATACACCATTACTCGTTATCGCTCACCTGTTTTGCTTTTTTATTCAACTTTGCATCAAACATTTTCAATACACATTGTAGGGATGTACTGATGGCCATGAGAAAAAGGAGGGCTCTGAGAAGGTCAGAACTTACAGAGTTAATAGTGGTGTTAGCAGAAAACCTCACACTGAAATCTGTATATTGTCTCTAGAAATGACCAAATATTCAGACATGCCCTTGGAACTCTACAACAAGAAAATGAAATAAAACCGATTGTTCTAGATCCAACCAAAGCAATCACTGGTTTATTGATATGCAGATGGTCCACAGAATATGGGCCTTACAGATGTAAACTTGCAGTATTGAGAGTTTTCTGTCTTCCATCTTTGTAGACATATGATGGCTCAAGTTCCATAAATACCCGTGTCGCCAATGTGTGTGGAAGACAGAAGCCACCTACCTCCATCACCTCCTCTGGAAACAGCCTCTTTGTGAGATTCCAGTCTGGCTCTTCCAGCCAGAGCAGGGGCTTCCGAGCTCAATTCAGACAAGGCAAGTATCCTGTGGGTCACCTGAGCCTTGGAGTGCTCTAATGACACCAGATTTCGGGAGCTGATCAGAGTTTCCAACTTAGTACGCAAATGTTCAGATAGGAAGACTTACAAGTATTGTAGCTGTTCATAAATTTTACATATCTTTGTCTACCTTAAATTATGATGATGTCTCAGGATCTGTACATTTCTTAAGCACTGTATTTTTAGAATAACGTTTAATGGTACAGTACTATCGATATACAAAAAAGAATTAGCCAAATTAATTTACCCAGCACCTACGCAAGGAGATATACAACTGTAAGACTTGTTTGTAATGTAGAGTTAGACTCTGCCTCCACAGAGTGGTTTTCTTCATTTCTGAACCCCTTAGTTTCCTATTGTTTTTGTCCTCAAGTCACCACTTCTCAATTTTCTCTCTCAAGCCTTTCACCAGATTTTTCTCAGAGATTAATCTTTTTTTTTTGGGTGGGGGGCTGTTCCCTTTTTAAAAAATTAAATTAGAAACAATCTTATTTTACATATCAATCCCAGTTCCCTCTCCCTCCCATCCTCCCATGCTCCCCCTGACCCCCCATCCCACTCCCCAGGGAGAGTGAGGCCTTCCATGGGGGATTATCAAAGTCTGTCACATCATTTGGGGCAGGGCCTAGTCCTTCCCCTGTGTATCTAGGCTGAGAGAGTCAGAGATTAATCTTTATCAAATTGTCAGACATGGAAGGAACCCAGAATTTGGAGGGGTTATTAATTGGTTTGAATGTGGCCATGATTTTTATCTTGATTACTCAGATCATTTACTTCAAAAACTTTTTTAATTAAAAAATTGCACGTGTTTATGGTGTACATGTAGAGGTCAGACGACAGCTTAGGGAGACTCAGTTCTTTCCTTTCACCATGTGGCTCTCAGGGATTGAACTCATGTCTGCAGGCTTGATGGCAAGTGCCTTTACCCATGGAACCATCTCACTGGCCTCACCTCAAATAAAGTTAGCCTGTGTCTATTAACATTCATACTAGTAGATTTGCTGATGTTGTATTAGTAAATAGTCCTAAATGGAGAGTGTCAGAGACATTGGAGCAAGACAAGAGAGTGCATGACTACCATTCCCAGTGATTTCAAAGAAAAAGAAGTACTTAACATTTTTTTCTTTACCCTTGTTATGCCCTTAAGTGTTGCTTCAAAATAAAAGCACCCTCTCATCCCTATGTGATCTTTTATAACAGCCCCCCTCAGATTTACCCACTCTTGCTCTGTTTTTTTCCCAAATAACTTTTTAAGAGTTGTACTCTGATCACAGAGACTCCTTGTGTCTGTTCTTTCTCTGTGTGGCTTAGAAGATGAAAACCAAGCCACTCCAACTTTTAACTACAGTCCCCAAACTTGCCCTGACCCTTTTACAGTGCTGCTTGCAATATGGTTTAAGCCTCACAGGCTTCCATCAAGACTGTATAAATATGGCCCTTCTCCTATGTCAGGCTGCCCAGTCCCTGCACTATTTTTCTCCTCCTCCAGGTCTTGGTTCAGTCTTGCTCTCTCTGGACACTGGGCACTCAACAATGTACCACACTCTCCTCTCCTGGTTTCCACAGATCATTGAGCTTCTCTGGTTAACTTGCAGTCACTTTTATAAACTGAGTGCTTTCTAGCGAAAATAAAGCTCATTTGTAAACAAATTACCCTTCTTAAACTAATGAGGGAGCAGAGTAAGTGAATCAAGGCCAAAGTATTGGTTGACTGATTCAGACAATTCACAACCATTTAAGTGTTGTTCTATGTCATGTCCCCACTTCCTGTCATTGAGAAATATTATAACTGTGAAGTATTTTCTAATTATCTGATGGTTTATGTGCAGCTACCCTGGCAGAGAGCTTTGTTGGCCTGCATGGTAGAAATAAGAACATTTTTCAGTTATCTAATAATTGTTTGGTGCCTTTGGTAGAAATCACAAGTATATAACATATATGTTTGTGCTTCCCAGAATGTGGAGGGCACATCATCACCGACTCTTCTGATACTATTTCCTCTCCATTGTTCCCTGATATATATCCAAACAATCAAAACTGTACCTGGATAATTGAAGCTCAACCTCCATGTAAGTAACAAAAACAAAAAGGGGAAGAGTATGGGGCAAGGGATACCTTTGGGAGGCATGGCTGTCAGTGGAGAACTTACCTTTTCCATGGTAACACTTGATAACTGGCCTCTTTTGGGGAAGTCCTGGTTCCTGGAATGCATGGAAACAGTCATTTTCTAGTCTAGTAAGCAAACATTTTAAAACTGATTCATATTAATTTAAAGGGATTTTTTTTAAGGCTGGATGTGGTAATTCTAGCACTCTGAAGGCTAATCCAGAAGACTTTATGAGTTGAAGACCAGTCTATTCTCAACAGTAAGTTCAAGGTCAGCCTGAGTAATATATGGAGACCTTGTCTCTAGAAAATCTGAGGACTGGAGAGCTCAAAGTATAGCTTAGTGTGCTTAATACCTGCCTATCAGCACTGAAGCTCTTGGTTTGATGCCCAGAACTACATGAATCGAGAGTGGTAGTACATGCTTGTCATTCCAACATACACTGAGATAGGAGAACCAGAAGTTCAAGGTCACCTTCTATTCTTATCCAGTTGGAGGTTACTCTGGGATCAGTGAAATTCTTGTCTCAAAAACAAACAATCAAACAAGCAAACAGAAAAGGACAAAGGACTGAGGATGTGTCTCCTAGAATACTTCCTACCTATCATGCCCAGAACACTAGGTTGGGCCCCAGCACTGTTAAACAGTATTTGTGTATATCTTTGCTGTACTGGCAGGCATATGAAATTGAGGTCATGAAAAAGTAATTAATAGACAAACAGCGCTTGGCATGTATTGCTGAGCTTGGTAGATGCTGAATGAATATGTGAATAATAAGGATATGGTTTGGAGAAATACCTTACGGTCGGAGGATATGATGTCACAAGCTATTGATCACTGAAGGGGAAATTAATAGCAAAATCCAGTCTCTCCAGCTATGTATATATTTATTAAATCCCAGAACAAGCCCAGAAATACTCAATAAGTGCCTAAGTTTCTTTATGGAATCTTAGAATTCTGTTACCTGACATGGTAGTAGTCTGTCCATATTTTAAGGCAGAGAAAATGAGATGGCAGAATGGCTCTAATCAAAGTGATCCTGGTCCCATTATGAATCCCATTTCATTTGAACCCTGCCCTCCTTTAAAGTTTCAGACACAATGTGGGAAAGCCATTAAGTTTTCTGCTCTGCTCTCTAGTTAATGACCTGTGTGAAAATAGTACAGTCCCTTAGGCTAAGCAGGTCCTAGCATAAAATAATTTGCAAAAGAGCTGGCTTAAATATTATTAAACTTAATTTAGTTATTATTCATTGTGAAATAAAATTTCACAAATTGATAGTATTGTGTGGCCATGCATGAGATGTGGGAGACAGTGATGTAATTCTTAGTCTTTGTAGATGGAGAGGGTAGAGCCCCAACAAAGCAGAGGAAGACAAGCCCCCTGCCTTGAGCCCAGCAGCTTTGTGCCTACTGGTTATTTTCTAATGAGCTGTAAAAACATTCAGATGAAAGTTCTCACTGCAAGGACAGCAACAGGAAAAGATCCCTTTCTGAAGATTAGGGACGCTGGAAAGGACAACAAAAGGAAAATGTACCCAGGCACTTGCTGTTCCTTACATGATTCAAAGCTTTCTTGATGGATGATTCAGAAGCTCTAGGGCACTGGTTGTGACCCCTAAATAAGCTTGAGTGTGTTAGGAGGCATGTCCTGTGGAAGAAGGATGTCTCTGTACAAGGAATCAGAAGGAATCTCAGTAAAAAAAATCAGAATCTAAGAAAACTAATCTGTGGAGAAAATATGAGAGAAACACAACAATGGCTGATAAACAAAACAAAACAAAAGCCTATGGCTATATTTTCCAATAAGACAAGACATTTCCCAAAGGCTCTGGGATGAACTTACCCAAGAGACCTGATTTACCATGACTGGCATTTGGGATTCTACAGGCATTTTCAAAAGCATCGATTCTGCTACTCTTCAAAGGAAGCCCTTTAAGCATGAGGCTGAGCCCTTAGCTCTGTTTACCCACCCCAGCCCTGTGCAAAGCTGCCAAATTCCTTGCTTCCCTGCTGGAAAACTCTCCTCTGAAAGCACCAGAGGCAAAAATCGCTCTGTTCTGCTTGCCAGTATCTTATTAAATAACCAACCCTCTTCTCTCTCTTTTTCTACAGTCAATCATATTGCCCTATCCTTTAGCCACTTTCAACTTCAAGGAGGTACAGATTGTACAGAGGACTTTTTAGAAATTTTGGATGGCAAGGACTATGATGCACCTGTCCGAGGTACCAGAGACTCAGTCATTTATATGTGTAGTCTTGGCATGTAGTGTGTGTGTGTGTGTGTGTGTGTGTGTGTGTGTGTGTGTTTGGTGACATTCAAAGTTACTGTGTTTCCAATAAGCATGAAGAGCCTCAGAAGTCACATAAGAATAATCAGACAGTAGGAAAGCAGGATAATGTAGGGCTCAAGAAACTCATTTATGTTCAAAAATAGTTTGTATATTTTAGCTTGTTTCTAAAGTGCACATCATGGATTCTAAATTACAATCTGAAGCAGTAGTGGATCAAAGACCATTTCATCAGTAAACAGAAAATTCAGAAATTTCTGGTCAGTACTTTAAAATACTTCTTAAATTCTATTGGGAATGTTTCCTCTGTTCCCAGAGGAAGGAAAAGATTTTTAAATTAATTGATTTAATTAAAAATTCACCAATTTGTTTGTTAGACATCCCAATAAAGTTAAAATGTGTGCGACATTGCTTTTAAAATGGTTCAGACAAAATAATAACCTTAGATGCATTCAGCTTTCTCTATGAGCATTTTGCCATGGGTGTGTTCCCCCCTTGCAGAGGAAAGGATCTGTCTGAGGAGACTGCTTTGATTTCTGTGCCCATAATGGAACACAAGACATATCTCTCATTGTATTGTCTGAGATAGTAATCCATTACATTGTACCAAAGACAAGGATATGTTACATAACACACACTTACCCAACCACCTCTTGTGGAGTACTGTTCTAAGTACTCTGTAAGTGGTAACTCTTTATATCCTTGTGACACGGGTTTAGTTATTTCTAGTATGCCCTCCTCTAAATATGGGGAAACTGGGTCACAGAGCCCCAAGTAATTTGTCTCAGGTTGCATAGCTAGTAACTGGCAAGCCAGGAATTGAAGCCAAGTAACCTGATCTACTTTCTCCTCTTCTCTGTGACAATGTACTGAGAGTCTAAGTCCCTACTTGGTTGGAAATATTTACTTGAGTTACATTTGAAGTCTGGTCATATCAGCTTTCCCTCTGCCCCTCTATTTTTTTAAAATCAGGTTTATAATTTATCCTGGCTATACTTGTATCTAGAGTTTATCTTTAGTGACTAGGCATTGTCTCAAACAGAACTCTGATATAAATGGTTCTCATTATGATTTCTTATATGTGCCTGGTAAAGATACCTGTGGCTCCTGCTGCGCCGTTACTCACCTCCTTGTCACTCTTCTCATTCTTTAGGACGTTACTGTGGTGCCTCCCTGCCCCGTCCCATTATATCATTTGGCAATGCCCTGACACTGAGGTTTGTCTCTGATTCTTTCGCCACGTTTCAGGGTTTCCATGCGCTCTATTCTGCGTCAACATCAGGTGAGTAAGAGGCATTAACAGCAGGGTTAGTAGCGTTGAGCAGAAATCTTTGGTTGGTTATTTAGGACTCTTTTAGTTTAAAGTTGGGAGCCAGTTTCCTGGAGTTTCCCAAGTGCTTTCTTTATAATTTAGTGTTGTGTAAATTCTCATAACCATGAAATCTGCAAGTGAGAATAGGCTGGAAACCCGGGTGTCTTTAGTTACACCATATAGTCATAGAGACCAGTTCTCTAGGGTCACAGCAATGTGTTTGCCAAGGTGATCCATGACTGATAGTTTGATGGGCGCTCATATGGATGCACGGCTTCACGGTTATTCTTCTGTTCTTCTGCATTTGATGGCAGGGTCAGGTAGGTCTGGATACTGACAGGTCCACTGTATAGTGAGGCACATGGGTGGGAAAGGAACACAGTGCCATCCAGCACTGCGGTTCTTGACCAGGAGAGGCTCTTACAACCCAAGTGTGTTTCAGTGCTCTCCTCAGAGGGAAAAGCTGCAAAGTACCTTTTCTTCCAGGGCAAGCCTGAAAATCACCCTGGCCATAAAAACCAAGTGGCTGCAGAATTAAAAACAAGTCCTTTTAAACCTACATTTCTAGTTCACATGGAGAAAAACTTTTAGAAAAAGGTCCCCTCTAGCCTACCATACTGTAGAGCTCTTGGTTTTCTGGTTTTGGAATCTTCCCTCAATTATTATATGTGACACAAAATGATTATTAATGTGAGTTGGAAGTGCCATGTCCTTTGCATATGGCTCCAAGTCTCTTCCTCTTGTATCTTGTGGTGTCCTTCATTTGGTCATTGCTCTGAAGCTCCCTTTGTTTCTTTGCCTTCCAGCTTGTGGTGGAACCTTCAACATAGCTGATGGCTTCTTCAACAGCCCCGACTACCCAGCGGAGTACCATCCTAATTTGGAATGTATCTGGAACATTGTCAGCTCTCCTGGAAACCAGCTGCAGCTGTCCTTTCTGTAAGTCCTTTGCATGGGTGTGTTGACCAGGAGAGGCTGTTACAGCCCAAGTGTGTTTCAGTGCTCTCCTCAGAGGGAAAAGCTGCAAAGTACCAGCACTGCAAAGTGCTGGTGAGTCTGCAGGGAGGAAGCACTGTTACTGACAGGATGGGTAATCAGAATCTTGGTCGAAGCCATTGACAGGTGTGGTGGTACACACCTTTAATCCCAGCACCGGGGCAGAGGCGGGCAAATAAATCTCTTTGAGTTTGAGACCAACCTGGTCTACACAGCATGCTCCAGGACAGCCAGGATGACATACAGACCCTGTCTCACAAAATTAAAAGAGAGAGAGAGAGAGAGAGAGAGAGAGAGAGAGAGAGAGAAAGAAAAGAAGAAAGAAAAGAACAAACAAGTATTTATTTACTGAAGATACATTAATATTTAAATTAACATTTTGAGTTCAAAGTCATGTATCATACTATATTGCCTGTTATTGGAGTCAGGTTGAAATCATTAATTCTTTCTTACTATTGTCCTCACTGTGTAGCCCACAATGTCCCCAAACTTGTGATCTCCTGCCTCACTTTGCCATGCAGGGATAACAGGCATGCCTGGCAATATCTGGCTGCTGATTTTGTTTTGAAAAGGATGTAAATTCCTCCATGTTGCCCATCTGTGCAGCAAGAACTGATTAAAAATGAGACAAGTTCAAATCTTTCAAATTGATTTCTTTAATTCACCAGTCAGACCATGCCTCCTCAGGGTGCAAGTGACATTGAGCTAAGCAAGACACGCTTCCTACATCTGAAAGGCAATACAACTATTAACTGCCATGGGGGAATATTTGCGATCACCTTTATTTTCACTAAAATTGGGACAATTCTTATACCATAAGAGATTAAACAACCAGACATTGGTGGTGCTTGCCTTTAATCTCAGCACTTGGGAGGCAGAGGCAGGCAGATTTCTGTGGGTTCGAGGCCAGCCTGGTCTACAAGAGCTAGTTTGAGAATAGCCTCCAAAGCCACAAAGAAACCCTCCCTCAAAAAAGAACAACAACAACAACAAAAAGATTAAGTAAATATCCATATAAAAATCTCTACATGATGTGTGCTTCTTTTCAGCAAATATTAATCAATACCTGGAGCACACAGTGGACACGTAATCCTTCCCTAGGGGTGCTTTACAGACAGTGACGAGAGAAGAGCTCTCCTGTGTCAGTGATGAAGTCCAAGATCCTCCATGGAACTTGTACCTCATAACTTGCCAAATATATGAACCTCCTTTTTGGCCTTTTCCTCCCTCTTCTACCATATCCATGTTGTTCACCCCTCTGATGTTCAATGGTTCCAGGAACTAGGTTAGATACTGGGGATATTTAATACACATAGGCTCTCGGTTCCTGACAAATTTATTGAAAAATCAGCTTCAATATGCTAGTGAATTGAAGGCTCAAAAGATTCGCTCCATTCTTAGAAGGACATTAATGAACTTGAAGGACCCCAGTTAGTGTTAAGGGTACTAAATTTTAAAATACATAGCTCAAGACCACGATATTTCAGTGTTCTGTGAAGACTTTCAGTATTTGCTATGTCTGAAGAATCTCCTGTGGTGTTTCAGTAACAAGCTCCCTTGGCCCACACTAGACATCCTAAAGCATGGGTGCTTATTTTGGTTGTCAAAATGGGAAGAGGGAACTTCAACTGCCTGTGAGCATGTCTATCGGGTACTGTCTTGCTAATTGATGTGGGCAGCCCCAGCCCCCTGTAGACCTAAGCTCCAGCGGAAAGGCAGCTGAATGTAAGCTGAGTGCAAGGCTGTAAGCAGTGCCCCTTCTTGGTCTTTCCTTCAGTTCCTGCCTCCATGTTCCTGCTCTGAACCCCTACCCACATCTTCCCATATAAGGGACTGTAACCTATAAGCTGAATCAAGTCTTTCCTTTCAAGTTAGTTTTGGTGATGGTGTCTGTCACAGCAACAGAAAGCAAACAAGGACATAGAGTGGCATCTATTTTCCCAGCTGACAGACAGTAAATGTAGTTACTGAATAGAGGACTCTTAGTGACCCGGTTGTTTCCTTGCTCACCTGTGGGATGTTTGACTCCTTTGTGTCACAGGCTTGAGTTTATTGTTAAAGTGGCCTTTGTAGACTCCAAGCTGCTTTTGCTGTGTGTTAATGGTAATGAGAAAGACTTCCTGGCAAGGCCTAGGAGTTACTTCTGCTCTGATCTAAACTACTTCCATATGTGGACTAGTCCTCTTCCCTGGGGTGTGTCAGAAGCATCTGGAACGCATCAAGTTCTAACAGAGGGTTTAGATTATGGATGCTGTGGTGAAACTGAGCAGGGAGAAAAAATGGATGCATTATGGTTGGATTTGTAATGAAAAGGAGAGGGGAGAAATAAAACTTATTTATTCTAAGAAACAGATATTCAAAGTAATGAACAGAAATCGTACTTTATGCCAGCAGAAGGCTTTGAGGAAACGGTTGGTTCTGGTGGCAGGACTGAAATGAGATAATGGGAAACAGAAAGCAGATTATTTTTGTTGCACATTATATTTTTACTGACAGCTCTTAGCTAAAGGGTAGATTTGCTTATAAAGTGTACCAGCCTAAAACAAAGACTTCCAAGAATAAAGCTTTTATAAGAAGTTTGGTTGGGTTCCTATAGGTATCACCGCTGTAATTCCTGATGGAAAGCCTTCCCTGCTGTTTCTCCCTGGAAGACGATCTGATTTAGGAAAGACCTTTCCTGTGTCATCTCCAGGATCACTGGTCAGAATTTTAGCAAGTGTTTAGATCACCAGAGTTGTGCTAAATTTCACATCGAGTCAGTTGTTATTTAGGGCTAGATTCTCCCCCTACTTCTGGAATATATAATCATCTGTTTTTTATTGAAAAATATTTTTTTCATATAATATATTCTGATTTTTGGTTTCCTGGCCCCAGCTCCTCCTGGATCATCCCCACTTCCATACCCACCCAAATCCACATCTTCTTTTCTCTCATTAGAATACAGTCGCCTAAAGTAATAATTATAAGTAAAATAAAAGCAAACAAGCCAGATAGCACAAAACCAACAGCAAAAAAAAAAAAAAAAAAAAAAAAAAGCAGAGCATAAGAAGCACATACAGAATTTGAGACACATTCGAGCACACAGAAGACCCTTAGAAACGAAATCTGAAACTATACTACATAAGCAAAGGATCTGTACAGGAAGCAAAGAAATGTCCAGACAAAGCATGGGGGGTCCAGATTCTTTATTTCAGATGAGCTTTCAGGAGGTACTAAGGTTGCTGGACCACACACCATGCCATGGTAGGATGCTTTGAGAGCAAGGCTGGTGAGTTACCCTCTGAGAGGAAAGAGGATTGGGCTTTCTCTTTTCTCGGAAGCAGAGTAAAACAATTTTGGCATAGTTCACACAAGTGTGATAAAACTGAACCTGAATTATACTGCTTACCTTATAGGTAGTAGTACTGTTTTACATTTGCTTATCTCAAAGTTTTCTATTTCTAACATTTTGAGAACATATATGAAAACTGTTAATTTCAGCATATAAAGAAAGAAGTTGAGTTTCTTTTTCTTATTCAAGAGGGATAGCCAACATTTTCAGTATTGAACTGCTTTGGCCCATTAGGGCCAGAAGAGGGGTTTGGTTCCCTGGAAACTGAAGTCAGGATAATCTCAAATTAATTCTATCAGTTCACTCTGTTCATTTTTGTTTGTTTGTTTCCAAATTAGGTCCTTCCAGTTGGAGAACTCTCCAAACTGTAACAAGGATTTTGTGGAAATCAGAGAAGGGAACGCCACAGGCCGCTTGGTGGGACGATACTGTGGAAACTCCATCCCTGGCAATTACTCATCCATCAAGGGACATACTCTGTGGATCAGATTTGTCTCTGATGGCTCAGGCAATGGCATGGGCTTCCAGGGCAGGTTCAATCAGAGTAAGTTGGCTTGTTTCCACAATGGCTTCCAGAATATATCCTACAAACTAGGAATGATGACAAATGTTTCGGTAATGTATTAACTAAGAATAATCCTGTACTCAGGTTTCATTTCTCAGACTGTAGAATAATATACCAGAAAGACCCAACTATTTATGAATGGCTGACTCAAAGAAAAGGAAATTGTGCTTGATGCTTTGGGTCTTCTTTTTAGGCTCCAATTTCCACCTGCTAGTAATGTTTATGATATCATGCAAATGGGCCTTTTAATATGGTCCCGGCAGATAAAGTTCTATCAAACATATTTCATTTGCTCTTTTAAATTTATTCTTAAAATTAAGACCTTTAGAATTATTTTGGGGTTAGCTTAAGCAGTTAGATAAAACACATGGGCTGTTCTTCCAATACAGATAAAATATTAATTATTTTTATTCTTTAACTCAAGTTTTTCCCATAATTGGCTATTCTCTGTGTTGATTCACATATAGAATTTTAAAAAGGAGAGAAAAATTTCTTTCTTTCATAAAACAAAGCAAAATTGGTAAAATACAATTAAGGTGTGAGATGGTACTCCTACTCCCCATGTCCTCTGGTGTTAGGGAAGTCCTTTTCTCATGGGAAGCTGTCCCTTCTTTTCATACCCTGCATCCAACTAATGCTGCATTCAAAAGTCATCCTTCTCCAGGAGCTAATAGCCCAGAAAACCAAAAGGGAAGCAGTATTTCTTTCAGTGGTCAGAAAAGAAATCCCAGTCAATTAAAAGCCTATCCTTTCCAATAGTCTTGCCCTTTGTTTTTGTTTTTTGTTTTTGTTTCTTTTTTTGTTTTCATTTAATTAAAGGACAATTCTAAGTAGGTCTGATTTACAACTCTGTTTTCCCTCCTAGTATTTGGCAATGATAATATTGTGGGAAGTCGTGGGAAAATCGCATCTCCCTTATGGCCTGAAAGTTACCCCCATAATTCCAATTACATATGGACAGTAAATGTAAACGCATCTCAAATTATCCGGGCTAGAATCTTGGAGATAGACATGGAATCAACATCCAACTGCAATTTTGACAAATTAAAGGTGAGTTTCTTTGTGAGGGGAGGATGTTTATATATTTGATGGATACTATTGACAAAAATAAGTCCAAATTCATACCTACTTAAATAAATAAAAGACATATGTAATGGTCCTATCATATCATAACTGCTGCCTCACTATCATCTGTATAAAATGATATTTGTATTATATTTGTTATTTTCTGTTTTATATAAAATGAGGTTTAAGCATTATTATAATGTCCTTATTGACTTTGTCTAAACTAAAAATGGCTATTTGATCTAGTTATGTGTGTATTCTATCTTTTATCCTGTCATCCTGTTTGTCCTTTTATTTGTTTGTCTTGTTTTGCTGTTTTTCTTGAAGCAAGTTGAGACTTTAAGAGACATCTTTACTGTAGATGGAAGCCCCAGTGTTAAGGTGGAAAGAGATGAAGGGGGGCACAGTGCATACTCAGATGCACCAGACTTCCCAAGACAGAGAGAGTCGTCTGTTCTAATGATACAGTCTTGAAACCTGAAAGGGTGATAGAAAAATAAGAAAATACAAATGGAGAAGCTATGATGGACTTTTCCATCCATGCATTGGCTACCCTGTGAATTCCATGTAAGGCCACAATCCAATCAGTCTTCTTGAAAGCTCAGTACTCAAAGTAGAAGCCAATGACTAGGGACATGATACCCAATAACTGTGGGAATAATTAGGACATAATTTGAAAGAAATAAGCTTAGTAGATGATTTTATGATTATTACAATGAATTATTTACAATTATTTGGAGATTATCATAAAATGTCTCTAGATAGGTAAGATAGTATTTTTAAGGCAGATGGAATAGATTTGCTAAGTATTTTGAATATGGGGAGCTCCATGAGCTGTGGTTCTTTCTTTGTTACTAACTCTTTTCTCTCTTAGAGTAAGACCCTCTTTACAATAGGTTGTACTTTCCCACCAACAGATTTGACTGTAAGCCCACTATATATGATATAGCTCACAAGCATGTTTATTAGGATAATTCTGAAATGGAGCTATATGGAACACCTTAAATTATGTATAACAATACATTTAATGTAACTTTCTGTTTTAAACTGAAGTAAAGCATTTTCTTGAAATTCTTTCTACTCTGATAAAATTATAAAATACAAACTATCCTTTAAATTTCTCTTTTAATGAAGAAAAATGCAGATAATTGGCTAGTTATAATGCTTTATTGTGTTTTTTTTTAACATGCAGATTTATGATGGGATCGACATCCATTCCCGCCTGATTGGCACTTACTGCAGTAACCAGTTGTTGGACTCTATTAGTTCCAGTAGAAACTCTATGACATTCCAGTTTTCTTCTGACTCTACCATCTCAGGGAAGGGATTCCTTCTGGAGTGGTTTGCAGTAGATGTTTCTCCTGGAGTTATTCCTGCCATTGCTACAGGTGTGTTTGGGGTCTTTCTAAGACTCTCTCTCTCTCTCTCTCTCTCTCTCTCTCTCTCTCTCTCTTTCGTGTGTGTGTGTGTGTGTGTGTGTGTGTGTGTGTGTGTGTGTGTGTGTGTGTGTGTGTGTGTGTGTGTGTGTGTGTGTTTACTGGTGCCCTAACATGCCAGAAGAGAGGTTGAGTTTGAGTTTCCTAGAGATGGAGTCACAGTAGTTATGAACTGCCTGACATGGGTATTGGGAACACAACAAAGATCTTCTGGAAGAGTAGAAAGTGCTTTTAACTGTGTAATATTTCTCAGCCCCAGAGTGCCGCAATTTTTGAAGTACTTCTAGGACAAGGGCTTAAAGATTTTTTTTTCCCTACAGGTGCTTGTGGAGGATACATGACGACAGGAGATACTCCTGTCCTTTTTTTCTCCCCGGGCTGGCCAGGGGAGTATGATAATCGTGATGACTGTATATGGATCATCTATGCTCCTGATTCTACTGTGGAACTCAACATTATCTCCATGGACATCGAATCTCAGCCAGTGTGTGACTATGACAGGCTGATCATAAGAGATGGTGAGAAACCGTGTAGAAATCATTGTTTAAATTATTATGCACAGTTACAGTTAGTAGTCTTTATGCTTGTGTACTAGCTCCACCACATTTTGTACAGCATTTCATAGATACTGTAACCAATAAAGCCATCAAATAGAAGAAATAGCTACAATGTCTAGAGAATGTAGGAAGAATACTGTATTACCTATCACAAAGTGTCAGGGATAACACATTCCTCAGAGAAAACAAAGGCCTTTTGAGGGGAGACACAGTTTGGAATTCTAGGCTGTACTAAAATTTTATTGATACAATGAAAATTTGTAGTTATGACTTTAAGATACAAATTTAAAACTAAGAAGTATCTAAGTTAGGCAATGTATCCATTTCTCCTGGATCTGTGGGTAGAAGAGTTAGAAATGAGAATGTTGTGGTGTTGCTATACATTGATGAAGCGTGATGAACCTTGAGACTATACAGTATACATGCAGTTGCCTTTCCTACTCTGCATCGACTAAGTACAAAAGGACAATTGGGAGGTCACATCCTCCATATCAGTGTTTCTCAGTGGCCACCAGAATACCAATGTCAGCCTCACCTGGAAACGCAGATTGCCATTATCAGCAAAGGTGTTTGATTGTAATATTTAAGAAATTGCTTTCTTATAGTCCCAGCTGTACAAAAACCTCCCAGTGAGAAACATTGCTTGGTGGAGATGCACATCTCAATCTATTGACACTGGGCGCTAAGAAATAATCAATCATGCCCTCACAGACCTTCTGTCCTGTGAACAATTGGCTTTCAGCACATGTCCAGAGTATCTCCTCTTTCCTGACATCAAGGCATCCCTGTAGATACTAACTTTTATTTTTATAGTGTAATTAAATGGGTGCATCCCAGCACACATGACTCTGAGTGTTCACAATACAACGGAAAGCTTTTAGAAATCTTCAGGAGGGAACTGCATTAATGGAGTAGCTCGCCTGACTTGAAAACCTGGACTCTAAAGCACACACCCTGAATGACCTGAGCAAGCCTGTTTTATCATCTGTGAAAGAGATGAATGCTGTTTCCGGGGTCTTTTCTCCCCCAGCAGCTTTTTATGACTATCTGAAAAGGCAATAAATGTAAAATTCTAACAAAATTCCAAGAATTTTGCAGCTACAAAATCCTTTAAGTAGACACTTCTGACATGTTCTATCCATTTTTTTATTTTTTTTTATTTTTTATTTTTTTTTTTGCTCATAGGGTGAGTTGAAAGAGCACAGAAATTGTGCTTTGTGCGAAAACAACAAAAGCATTTAGATCAGTGGGGTGCACATAGGTTTCTTTTGTTCACGACCATGAAAAGATGGCTTATAGCTTCCTTCCTTCTTTATCTGTTTATTTCCTTCTTCAAAAAAAGCATATGTTGAGTACATGTGTCAGTTGTTGGATATTTTGTCCTCTTGCACTGTGTTAAAATTCTATGTAATTAAAATTTACTTTCTTATTATTTTATTTATTTGGATTTTGCACCACTAGTTATTTTGCTTCTGATTGGTAGTCATGTTTGTCATTCTGAAGCAAATATACAAAGCTCCCTGACCATAAAACAGTGACACAGACATCATGTGCAGTTGGACAGTCCTCATGAATCCTTGGCACATGGCCAGAAGATGGCACAGGGTCCTGCAGCAATCTTAGGAAATAACTCAGCCAATCTCCCAGCTGGGATTCCTTTTAATTGTTTAAACCAAATCATTCTCCTAAAGACTTCTTGTAGTCTCACTAGACGTTTCATCTTGTAGAGGAAGTTTGGGGTATCTAGAGTTAATCTACCAGGTTTAGTGTCATTGTTGACTTCTGTGCCCTTACATAGGGTAAACCAAACTTGCATCTCTCATAAGACTCCTTCTCTGGCTATGATGACAATAACACCTGCCTAACTGTTTTTGTAAAGGAAACAAATTAGAAACCATATATAAGGCACTTAAAAGGGTTCATAGCAACTGCTCAATAAATGTCAGGTTTTTATAATCTTAGTACCTTTTTCCACATCTCTAAGACAGTTGGGCTGGCCTAGAGAACACCAAACTGTCTTCTAGACTTGATGTTTATGGTTCCCAGACTTATTTCCCCTTTAGAGATGGGTTTTGGAACTAAAATTGGAATGTTTAGCATTTGTAAGTTTATCAAAATGTTCCAAAATTAGATTTAGAGACTAGAAAGATGAGTGAAGAATACTATAGTTAATGAGTTATATAGCAACTGAAAGATAAGCATTGTTTCACCAGTCTGGGGTGGTACTTAGACAACAAATAAAATTAATAGATAAAGCCCAGAGTTACTGAGAAGTAAAACACGTATTGACATAAATGGACTAAAATTTTGTTGCTTTGATAATTACAGAAAGTCAACAAAAATTCTGTTCCAAGCTTCTTGTAAAAGTTCATATTTATAATTGCCAGTGTATTGTTAATTATATAAAAGTAGAAACTGACTTCTTAGAATTTTAAACACACACACACACACACACACACACACACACACACACACACACACACACACACTTGTTGCTGGTTGTGTAAAGGAGCACATTTCCTCATGTCTCAAATTCTCTTATTTTTTATAAGATTGAAAATCTGCCAATTTTCTGCCTTTATCATATTCCCAGCCAAGGCCTCCGAGTCTGCTATAATCCCCTTTATCCCATTCAGCTTCTGGTTGAGACAGCTGACAGGTGGTTTGGTGGACATGTATATTCAAAGGCAGCAAAGGGAAATGGGGCCACACATTGTCCTGACTCCCTTTTGTGTCTCTTCCTGGGGACAGCACTTGCTGGGACCATCTTTTCTCATCCTCCACATAACAATGGTCCTGTTACCACAAAGCAAACAAAATTTAAAAAATACCGAAAATAAAATCATCGCTGGGCTGGGGAAATGGTCATATGAAGCTTCCTTACCTCCCAGTGAGCAACCTCTATGAGCTCTGATCTAGGCTGAGGAACCAGTCTTTCTCTCTCCTTTGGAAAGTTATCTTCAGCCATCACAGTAGATAGACAAGAGCCTCTAACTTCCACTCATATAAACATGGCCTTGATCCCTTTCAGCCTCAGCTCCTCTCTTTCTGAGTTTTAGTGCCAGGAAGAGATGGCCTCCAGGTTTAGGAAGATGGAGAGACTTGTCCCAAAGGTTTTTATTGACAAGAGTTAAGAAAAGGGCAGGCAGATCATGGCAAGCTGGAGCCAGGATGATGTAAAGCTGGCTGGTCCTCTTATTGAGAACACAACTATCTCCTAGGCACTTGGGTGTTCTGAGAAAAACATATGACTAGAGTTTTGGCTGGGCTGCAAATGATGGTGGAGTGGATTCTTAAGACCATATTTTTACACTGACATTTTCCTTCTTTGGTCACAGGAGACAATAACTTATCCCCTCTGCTGGCTGTTCTGTGTGGCAGAGATATTCCTGGGCCCATCCGGTCAACTGGAGAGTACATGTACATCCGCTTCACCTCAGACTCCAGCATCACTGGAGCAGGCTTCAACGCCTCCTTTCATAAGAGTAATGTGGCCAAACATTTGCCATTTAATTTCCTCCCCACTCTTCTCTCTCCCTTCTTCATCCCTTTTCTCTTCTCCCTACCTTTCTTCTCTCTTCACTCAATTCTTTGTGTCCTCTTCTCTCTTTCTTATATTTCTCCCTCTGCCCTTTTCTCCCTTCTCTTCCCTTCTCTTCCCTTCCCTTCCTCTCCTCTCCCCTCCCCTCTGCTCCCCTCCCCTCCCTTCCCCTCTCCTCTCCTCTCCATTTTCTCCCTAATCACCCAAATCATTTTCTCATGCTAAGACACAAGTTATAAATCAAAAGTCACAGGTACCTGTTACATCATGGTGCTAGGTACCGAGTCCTCATACAAACCAGAGTTGTCTAGTTGTACAAGAGTGTCTCTTGCTCTCCAGTGTCTGAGTGGCACTTCCCACATCTGTGAGAGGTGTGCTCATGGTAGACACAAGCGAAAGAGTTAGAACTGGAAGAGAATATATATCCATAGTCCATCTAAAGAACTATAGATACATGCTGTATCCAGCTTAAGAAATAAACCAGTAAACGTGATACAGAAGACACCTTCATGAATGCTTTGAGTGTGATAGAAAGAGCCTGTGGGTCTTGAAATAAGGACTTGATTAGTCAGAGGATGGATATAGTATATGAACTGCTCTAATGTGTCATATCACTGAGATTTCTCAATACTTGACAGCATATGAAGTCTAATAATAACCTTGAAGCTAAGCTAGATTAACATTAAAGAAATTGTCTATGGAATATTGAAAGATAGTCATGTATGAAAAAATTTAATTTTAAAATGGATTCTTAACCTACTATTAAAATTAATCTAGTAGTTCCTTTCCTGTTTAGATATAGCTTTTATAAGGATGGAGCAATCATGGGAAAATGATCTACCTTACACTCAGTGGAAGCAGGCTGTGCAGAGGATCAAAAGTGAGCTTTGGAATTAGAGCTCAAACAAATGTCTACCTCTGCAATTTAACTTGTATGAAGTTTCTTCATTTACTTGCTGACAGGCTGCCTAGTACTTGACAATGACAACTGAAGGCCTACTTCACCACTCTTCCTCAACTCCCAGGGTCTAATATAGATAATAGCACATCTCATTGGACAAACAAGCAGATAGATAAATGATAAATGAATAGATAGATGATTGACTGATAGGTGATAGATGGACAGACAGTAGATTACTAGATAGATGATAGATAGATAGATAGATAGATAGATAGATAGATAGATAGATAGATAGATAGATGTACAGATGCTCTCCAAAGCCTTTCCATTCTTAAGCAGCAGAATTAAGTCTGTTCTGCTTCTTATATAAGCTCATCAAGCTACTTTCTGAATACTCATGCTACTTCATCTCGCCTGAGTCCCAGTGATGCCCCTCTTACCACTTCAAGCCTTTACACTGTTTTCTGGATTGCAATGTTTGTCTTCTCTAAGCTCACCCAGTTTCATTCCTTATTCCATCCAGGTCTCTGCTCAGATATTACCCCTCTAACTTCCCTAGCAACAGAGTGCATCTTCCCCTCACTTTCCTTTCTTGAACTTACTACTATTTCACATAGTATTCATTTGTTTTTAACATGTCTTCCACCTCTGGAAAGCCAGTTTCTGTGAAAGTAAATGGTCTTTTATCCATGACTCAAATCTTAACCACAACGATGCCAGTATCCAACAGTGTGTGCTCATTTAGTGGTTGAGCCTCCAATCATTTCTTTTACGTTGATCCCAGTTTCAAATTTCTCATCTGTGGCTTACATTTTAAAAATCCCCAGTTGGGGGGTGGGGAGAAAAGTATAAAATCCTCATTGTCAACATCATTTAAATAACCTACCTTTCTTTTTCCTCTTGGGAAGGCTGTGGTGGATATTTGCATGCAGACAGAGGGATTATCACATCTCCCAAGTACCCAGACACCTATCTTCCCAATCTCAACTGCTCCTGGCATGTTCTGGTCCAGAGTGGTCTGACCATCGCTGTTCATTTTGAGCAACCTTTCCAGATTCAAAATAAAGACTCTTCTTGCAGCCAGGGAGATTATTTGGTGGTAGGTCATGCTTGTTACTCTTGTGGTTAACTGTCTCTGCAGACTTAATTTAACATTCTTATGCAAATTGGTAGGACCTTTAACATTCTTTTGCAATATAAAGGATGTTGCACAATTTTAATCTCTTTCCAGCTAAGAAATGGGCCAGACATCCATTCTCCACCCTTGGGACCTTCTGGAGGAAACGGTCGTTTCTGTGGAATTTATACTCCATCAACTCTGTTCACCTCAGATAATGAAATGTTTGTTCAGTTCATTTCTGATAATAGTAATGGTGGGCAAGGATTTAAGATCAGATATGAGGCAAAGAGTTTAGGTAAGTACTTCCCCTGAGAATTATATCTAATTTTTTCCTGAGATTGCTTGATTTGTTGAGATGGATTTTATTGAAAAAATGCCAAATTTTCTGAGCATAAAAGTTGTAGCATTAATAAGAACAACAGACTATGATCAACCTGGGACTTAGAGCATGCGCCGTACACTAAGTATTCTGCATGATGCTTGTTAAAGGAAGTACAGTGTAGTCATTTATACTCTACAGGTGAGTAAAAGAGGCTTTGAGTTTTCCAAGTTGTTGGTTTTGTCTTATTTTGTTTTTTCCAATTATTGGCAAAGTGAATTCTCCATGTGTAGAAAATGAACTGATCTTAATGGGCCCCTGAAATACTTAGCTCTTTCTATGATGAAATGTCTAAGTTAAACTTAGTTACAGTAGCACAGTAAAGGCTTTGATTACCCCCCTTCAGCATCATCTGTGTTCTTCCTTTGTAGTGAACACCAGTCTACGATTCTATTACTCATCTAGTTATTACTTATTTATCATTGTATTGCAGCAGCAATCTTTATGTAATTACCCTTACTTAGTTATGCTTAATTATAATTGTATTTAATTTTACTGTAAATTACATTTTTTATGACATTTCCTTTTTAATAACATTTAACTAAATCTCAGTGGAGAGTTAACAGCACAACTAAATCTCCACTTCTCCCCTCAAATTCAATATCATGAATGATTATGTGACCTTAATCCTAGATTCTTGAATATGCTTCAAAAGGCACATTGATCAAAATGAAGTTGGGTTTTTGTTTGTTTGTTTGTTTGTTTTTTGTTGTTGCTATTACTGCTGTTGCTGTGGCTTGAAATAGGATCTCATGTAGCCCAAGGTAGCTGGGAATTCTTTCTGTATCTGAAGGTGACCTTGAATCCCTGATCCACCTACCTTGACACCCCAAATCCTGGAATTATAAGCATGTACCACCATGCCAAAGAGAAATCTTATGTTTTATTGCACATTATCTCAGATGTGAGAAAATTCAGAATGTCAACATCATTTCTTCATTTGGGAAAAGAGAAGGAAATAAAAATCTCTATCCATCACCCCCCCCCCAAAGCATTTAATAACTCATGTAAGGCCCAAGACAAGCATTGTGTTCAGTCACCTCCTAGTGCAGTAAGCGCTGGCATGCAGGGATCTGGTAACAGCTCTGAGGGCAGCTGTGCGGCTGTTCGAGGTTGGCATTTTCTCTAACATCCCTGCCTTCGTGTTGGGATTCATAGTGGGTTTGAATGGGCTGGTTTGATCTTCCTGCAGGACCCACTTTCCTACTTTGTTAGTGCTGGGATTAGCCTTAATTCTATGACAGTTCAGATGGACTAAGTGTATTTTCTTCCTAGTTCCTTTCTAGGCCCACCAGTCATGCATCTATACTAGTGGCCATTATCATCTCCCTGCCTTTCCTCACACACATGACTGTCCTTAGTATTAAGATCAAATGAAGTTATAATTTTTTGGCCAATGGCCCAGGCTTATACTGACTAGCTCTCACAATTAAATTAACCCACTTCTATTAATCTGTGTACTGCCACGAGGCTGTGGCTTACCAATAATGCTCTGGCATATTACTCCTTTGGTGGGTATATAGCATCTCCCTAACTCCACCTTCCTTCTCTCTGCATCTTTGTTTGAAATTCCCCCTAGCTATATTTTGCCTGTCCATCGACCCAAACAGCTTTATTCATCTACCAATAAAAGCAACACATATTTGCAACATATAGAAGACATTCCACATCAGAGAAGATATAACCAACTGATGGAATCATAGAAGAAAGGAGTGAGCAGAGATTTGTACTTTACTAAAGAATTATGTATCATTAATTCACTGTTTTTCAAGAATTTACTATGTTGGAGAATAGGGTCAAAAGGAGATAATTATGGTGATGAACCACCATCTACATCTACATGGTGATGCTAAGGGCCATTGGAACTACCCAAAGACTAGTTTGAAACACTGAAAGGTTTAAATACAAAGTGCCATGGCTTGACCAGAACAGAAACATCAATATAGCTGCATGATTGGAGGAATAAAGGAAGAACCCAGATGAAGGTGTCTTGAACTAAGTAAGGCAATGTCAATAAGAAGGTAGAAAAGAGTCCATGTTGAAAGATGTTATAGGTAAGGAATCTAGTGGATTTTCGGGTCGCTGGAAGGTGGGAGTGGAGAGAGAGGATGAAGGAGTTTGAGTAACAGCTATGTGCATACAAGGTGCCAGACTGACATATGTTCGTCCGGAAAGTCCTCAATTTCATACCCTGAAGATGTCTGGCAGGCTGTTGAAAAAAGGAGATGAGAAGATTGGTCTAACCTGGACTGATAGAACATGGGTTGTGGTTTAAACTGTGAGGCTATGAGGCAGCCAACAAATTCTTTTGAAGGAAAAAGTGGAAGACCTGCAGAAAGAGTCCCAGGGCACTCCAGCACTGTCCGGAAGCCCTGGTGGGAGACACACAGGATGGCCTGAGAAGGAATGCTGACAGAAGTAAAAGAAGAGTTTAATGTCTGAGAAGCTGAGGGACTTGGATGGAAAGAAGGAAGATGTAGGAGATCATGTTAAATGCAATAGGTGTCATACCATAATTATAAAGAAGACATCTCTCAGTACACAACTTGCAGGAGACCAAGGGGTGAAATAAGCATGCTGGTTAAGCTTGAAGGAAGGAAAAGCAAAAGGAAGGAATGAGCAATGTATGGAGGAAGGAGTAAGAGAGAGAGGAGGAGAAAGAAGGGGTTGGAGATGTAAATACAGTAAGATCCCAGAGGGGGCAGATGGGAAGGGAACACGATCCAGAAATACAGGAGTGCCATGGGAAGAGCTGACAGTATCTGAATAGTAACAAATGAGGCATTAAAAGTGGGACACGACCCTCAGATGATTTGTTTTCTGTCTCAAGTAGAATTCCATGTAGTACTGAGAATCCAAAGATACAGGGAGAAGGGAGAAGTTTAACAAGAGATTCTTTGAATGGCTGTTGAAGTTTGTAGAAGTTAACTAGCAGATTGCTCAACAGACTTAAGACTGGGTGAGGGCTCTAAGATGATAGTTGGGGTATTCATCAGTCTGATTACAGGGGTAGGCCAGTTCAGGCATTCTCTCTTCTATTTCTAGGAGTCTTAGTTGGGTCATCCTTGTAGAATCTTGGGAGTTATCCTAGCACCAGGTTTCTCCCTAAGCCCATAGCGGCTCTCTCTATTAAGATAACTTTTTCATTGTTCTTCCACTGCATCCCTCCCCTCCTAGGCCATTTCATTCCCTTCTATTCTCATCCCCTTCCCCCTCCCCTTTACCATCCCAGGCCCCCAGTTTGCCCTGTAGATATCATCTAATTTCTCTTCCCAGGGTGATCCATGTATCCCTCCTGGTGTCCTTTTTGTTACCTTGTTCTCTAGAGCTATGTGCTTTAGTCTGGTTATCCTTTGCTTTACAACTGATATCCATTTACGAGTGAATACATACCATGTTTGTCTTTTTGGGTCTGGGTTACCTCACTCAGGATGGTTTTTTTTTTTCCTAGTTCCATTCATTTGCCTGAAAATTTCATGAGGTCATCATTTTTTGTTTTTTACCTCTGTGTAGTACTCCATTGTGTAAATTGTGCCACATTTTCCTTATCCATTCTTCCATTGAAGGGCATCTGGATTGTTTCCAGGTTCTGGCTATTAAGAATAATGCTGCTGTGAACATTGTTGAGCAAATGTCCTTGTGGTATGATTGAGCGTCCTTTGGGTAAATGCCCAAGAATAGTACCACTGGGTCTTGAGGTATATTGATTCCCAATTTTGTTAGAAACTGCCATACTGATTTCCAAAATGGCTGTACAAGTTTTCACTCCCACCAGCAGTGAGGACTGTTCCCCTGACTTTAAACATATTGAGATTACAGTAAGTGAAAGCTTACTGATCTGAACTTTCAATGGGAAGTTATGGTTGCTTGCATACTTCCTCAGTCATCTAAGTGATGGGTATGTATTTATCGATGCAGAAACACAACTCTCATATAAAAATGAATAAAGAATATTTTTTTGGATTCCATATATGACTGCCCATAATCTGGGATGACAGAATCAGGTTATCCTCAAATGCTATGTTCCAAAATGGTAACGACTTCATGGAGTTTTTATAGTAACAAAACAAAAGAGAGTCCTAGATCAAGGCACTTTTCAAATACATTGATTGGAACAACAGGTATATGGCTCATAGCAAAGAAAGGAAATTTCTATTGGCCTCAGGTGCTCATGCTGACATTCTTAACCTTTGGGTTGGTGAAGCTAGGGATCTAGTATATTCCAAAAGGATTTTCCTAGTAGCCATGAAAATGGATGTTAGGTCAAATAGAGGTGAACAATAAATGACTACTAAGGAGGCTAAAGAAAGCCCAAGTTGATTTGACTCCAGACTACAACAGTCCAGCTCCACAATTCTGGAAGTTCTAACAAGAACATCAACCTCAGAGAACTTCAGTTTATGTGTTCGTGTTATGCTGCATATACTTTACATTCTCATTTTGTTAGCTTTAATGAAAAATAATTTTTTTAAAAATCAGAATAGACAATTTGGATGTGGGCATCCTGGTTTTTGTCTATAATCCCAGCTCATGGGAGGTGGATATAAGAAGTTCAACATTTCAAGGCAGCCTTGGTGACATAGACAGGCAGGGTTTAGCTGAAACTATCTCAAAAAGCAAACAAGTGGGATAGAGATATGGGTCAGTGATTAAGAGTACTAGCTGTGCTGACTGCTTTTTTCAGAGGACCTGGGTTCAATTGCCAGCACCCATATGACAGTTCACAGCTGTCTGTAACTCTATTTCCAGGGAATCTGATGTTCTCTTCTGGCCTCAAATGGCATCAAGCATGCATGTGGTGCATAGATACACATGTAGGCAAAACACCCATACAAATAAAATAAAAATGAAATCAAATTAAAAAACAAATAAGCAACTCCCCCACATACACATTTCAAAACAAAACACTTGACCTGACGAAAAAAGCAGAATAGAGGGTTTGACAGAATAAAAAGGGACATACATGGTAGCTCATTTTATAGGAAAGTCAAATTTTACTTGCTTAAAAAGAACATGAAGTTAATTCAGATGAAAGAAAAAAAATAAAGACAAATTGACTGTACACAGCAATTGTATAGCTGAATATGTTCTTATTCTCCAGACTGTAGACTGATTTAACTGTTTCTTGACAGCCTGTGGGGGCAACATCTACATCCATGGTGCCGATTCTGATGGATATGTGACCTCCCCGAACTACCCTGCTAATTATCCCCAGAATGTTGAATGCATTTGGATCTTAGAGGCACCTTCTGGGAAAAGTATACAGCTTCAGTTTGAAGATCAATTCAATATTGAAGAAACACCCAAGTAGGTCACCTACATTTTAATATTCCTAGAACCCAAAGTTAATATTTTTTTTAGCTGCCACATCCAAGACAATTTATTACTTCTTTGCTCAGCGGGTACACACTGCCCAGAAAAATGTAGAGACAAAGCGATAAGTAAATGTCTGAAGCCTCAAAGCGTTGCCTGGCAGCTACTCCCATGTTGACTCTCAACACATCTTCCAAGAGACCCTGGGGGTGACTGTTTAAGATTGATGGCATTTGTTCTTCCTCCCACAGGGGGGGAAAAAACAGTCTCTATTAGATAAGTATTTTTCCAGCTTCATATTGAGTGTCACAGATAATAAATACCTGATTAACAAATAATTTGTGTGGTGTGACACTAGAGGCCACCCACCAGTGCCACAAACAGCACTGAAGCAAGCATTCCACATTTTCCCAGGATCATTTGCATCAGGATTCTTGAAGGGTCACAACTCAGAGAGCATGTATGACTCTGATGACAACCAAGGAAAACTACATAGTCTGGGAAAACAAAGCAAAATTACAAGCCGACACACAGATCTATAGTTTCTTTTTTCTTTTATCTAAAATATTCCTATATTTATGTGAATTAATGTGTGTCACAACAGAGCTACTGATCATCACTTTTGGCATTGAATATGATATGTTTTTCCAGAAACGAGCAGCATGGACTCTATAATTTGACTTTATTAGGAAACATTAGTAAAAGCTTGTCTTCCTTTTTGAATAGAGAGTGAAGCTGTGCCCCTCAGTAGCCATAGTCATGGGGCTTCCAAGAGAGGCTGATCTTTCTCATGTGAAATATATTCAAGTAACATGTCTGACAAACTCTACTTTAGTTGAGTCCATCTGATCCATAGTCCATCTTAAATGACTTATGTTTGTAAGACAAATACAGAGTATATAAAGAACCATCTCCCAGTTAAAAATGCTTGAAGAAAGAAGTCTTGACTAACAATGTAAGTCCAAGTAACTGGTTTTGTAAATGCGATGGTTTCTTTCTGCTAGCTGTTCTTCGAGCTACCTTGAATTACGCGATGGAGCTGACTCAAATGCACACGTGCTTTCCAAATTGTGTGGGCACTCCTTGCCTAGTAGTTGGGTATCCTCAAGAGAACTTATGTACCTGAAATTCCACACTGAAAGTGGTTCCAGCTACATGGGATTCAAGGCCAAGTATTCCATAGGTAATGCTTTATTTTCAAACAGGAAAACAGTGGTTTGGGAAAACACTGAAGCTTAACCACACCGTACCTCTCATCTGCCTAATTTTAAGACCCAGAAGAAGAAGGTTATGCATAAACTCACAATGTCATCACAGTTTTAAGTTATTTTATATTATGTTAAAATGTAATTTTTATTTAAACTTTAGTATTTTATATTTTTCCTAGCTTGTACATAAAAGGTATTTTCAGTTATATCAAGCTTTGTTTCTATCTCTTACCATGAAATAAGTAAGTAATATACTTGCAAATAATAAAATTCCTTGGTGGTCCAACAACTGCACTTGCATGATGACTTAGAACACTAAGCATCCATGGAATGGTCCAGCCTTTTTCTTCTGAATTTCTAATGCCAATCCAGTTACTCGATGAAAAGCACATTATTCCCCTGGAGTCTTTTTTTTTTTTAAATAAACCATGAACATACATATTGCAGATTCACTCAAGTATACAATACCACGTATCACATAATTTAGTGTCTGGTGGGTCTGAACTCTCAGAAAATATGTAAACCAGCAAAAGCTCAGAAAGTCTAGTTTTAACAATATTCAATCTGTACAATTTACCTTATATCTTAAGGTATATTGTATGTAGGTTAATCTAGACATCACATCCAACTGATAAATAATAAGAATTTTCAATCCCTAAGAGAATATTTACTGCAATGCAGTATGTAATTAGAGTTAACCTAGAGACGTAGACACCAGCAGTTACTGGTCAACCACTGTACCTTCCAGAAGACTGCAGACAGTGTTTGGAATCAGCAGGAGAGAGTACCAGGCAGGCCTTCTTACCCTACCAGTTGCTTCCTGGATGAAATTTACATACAAGTAATAGCTCTTACATGTTGTCCCAGGAGAATGGATGTGATGTTACAGAATGTGGCATCCCATAGTTATCTTCCATTTCTCACACTGAGTAGGCTTGAGGTATTTTTCTTTCTATATCCACAGTGTAGATTTCAAATATTAGGAAAGCTTTAAGCAAATATTTTCAGATTTTTACAACTTTTGTTAATGCTCACTTGGCTCCTAAAAGTTTTAAATTATACTGGTTTTATTCTATAATTCATAATAGAATATCATTTGCGTATGTTTGTTTTGCAGCCCCGTGTGGAGGAACAGTCTCAGGGGAAAATGGAGTCATCGAGAGCATTGGATATCCAACCCTTTCCTATCCAAACAATGTGTTTTGTGAGTGGCATCTGCGGGGCCTCCCAGGACACTATCTTACCATCCATTTTGAAGATTTTAATCTTCAGAGATCCTCTGGCTGTGCAAAAGACTTTGTGGAGATCTGGGAAAATCATACCTTTGGTCAGTGAAATACTGCTTTCTTTGGGGGTGTTTACTTCTTAATCAATTTATTCAGCCTCTGAAATATCTTTGCTTCTGAGAAAGGCAAATGTGTATCTGATGTCACCAGAGAAATGCAGATTCATGGGCCCTGTGCAAGACCAGCAGTTCTTTTCCATGATTCTAACAGATTACAATGGATACTCATTAACACTATAGCTATCCTATAGTCATCTTGGAGAGCACACTGAAAGAACCTTGTACTGGGACGCCATCCTCCTCCTGTGGAGACCCCAATGTGCCACACGTGGTTAATGGAAGAGTCTCCTGAAGTATAACGAGAGGGAAGGACAGTGCATATCATATAGCAGTATAAGAGGCACTTGGATTATTTCTTTAACCATGTAAACCAGCCTTCCTCATTAGGCTGAGATAGACTTACCTTAATTGGCTCTACTCTTTATACATCTGCGTATATTTGAATATATTGCTTTTTGTTCATGATTTTCATAACAGTTGTTGCCATTTCTTCACAGACAAAAGATTATCTTAAGTTTTCTGTGTCCATGCAAAATAATTTAAGTAAACATTGACAGAAATAAATCACCTGAGAATGTACATAATTAATTATCTGCCTCTTGCAGGAAATCTTTTGGGCAGATATTGTGGAAACTCCATTCCTGGCAGTATCGAAACTTCTAGCAATGTTGCTTTAGTCAGGTTTGTTACAGATGGCTCTGTCACTGCCTCAGGATTTAGGCTGCAGTTTAAGTCCAGCAGAGAAGGTGAGTTCAATGACTTATTAGAAAAAATACTGATCTCCTAGAGGATAGGCACTGTGCTAGGCACTGATATCATAATAATTTGAAAAAGAAAATGTGGGCTGGAGAGATGGCTCAGAGGTTAAGAGCACTGACTGCTCTTCCAGAGGTCCTGAGTTCAATTCCCAGCAACCACATGATGGCTCACAACCATCTGTTATGAGATCTGGTGCCCTCTTCTGGTGTGCAGATATACATGGAAGCAGAATGTTGTATTCATAATAAATAAAATAAAATCTTTGAAAAAAAAGAAAAAGAAAATGTGATTCTAACTTCTCGACTCTTATGAGGAGTTGAAAGCCAGATGTTAATAAACAGCCACCAATTAATGAAAACTTGCCGCAGGAATAAATGCTGCAAAGGAAAATAACTTATATCATGAGAGATTCAGAGAGGAGACATGGCTTCTCTATAAAACCCATCTTGAGAAACTGGTGCATTGTAAAGTCCTAGAGCTATCAAGAACTCACATTCCTAAATGCCCTGATGAACTCAGGTGAAATAAAGGTCCCACAGAAAAACAGAATAATGACTTTAGCTTTCCTAAGTTTGCTATATTTATTGTGTTTTTTTTTCATATACCATGGGCTCTGATAACAATTTAAGTGCTGCCAGTGGACTGTTTTCCATGGAAGCAAATGTTAACTATTAACAGAGACAAGAACTGAATACAGATGTAAATACAAGTCAAGAAATGAATACAGATGAACATTCTCATACATGTGGAGACAAAAAAAAATGTGGCCAGTAATTTTGTCTCGATGGGTCATTAAGAACTAATTTTTAAAAGCATCTCTTGTGAAAAGAGATACTCTGATTTATTTTTTTTCTTTCTGTCTTTCAGTGTGTGGTGGGGATTTACGTGGCACAACTGGAACATTTACTTCTCCCCACTACCCAAACCCAAACCTGCATGCCTGGATCTGCGAGTGGACAATTACTGTACCAGAAAACAGGAGGATTATCTTAACCTTTACCAACTTGAGGCTGAGCAACCATCCATCCTGCAACAATGAGCACCTCATAGTAAGTGTTCTCTGCAGGCTGGGCACTGTGCTTCATTGTGTCTGGAGTATATTCACTGAAAGTGGTAATATGAAAACTCAATCAAGCTATTACCACCTATGTAAGTACATTTCAGACAAAATTCTGGGTAGTTGAAATAGAACAAAATCACCACATACTGCTTTCAGAGACTCTCATCCATCACTGAGTGCACAAAGGTTAAATGGTGGTTAAGTTTTCAGAGCAAACCATCATTGCAATATGACAAAAGAGAATAAGTAAATCACCGCTAAGCACATAGGCAAACCATCAGTCTCAGCACAAGCATGGATGAGGTTTAAGTAGATGAGTGGTCCTACATAATCTCATTCTCTGCCAGAGGTATTGAGAGACCCTAGGTAGAAAGCCTTCGGTGTAGCCAACTTCAGGTGTGAGGAGCATACCCTCAGCATTCTTAGCTACCCTCAGCTGAAGAAAGCAAATGAGACCCATGAGTATGAATAACAAATATGTTGTTGACTGGGAAGTGTGTGTTGATTGTGTGTGTGTGTGTGTGTGTGTGTGTCAACATATATGTATGTACAACATATATGCATACAAATATGTACTTATCAATGTAGCTATGTGTAGATTAATAGACTACCAAGTGGAATTAATGTTAGTATACTTCTTTACCCATCCTGCTCCCTTCTTTAGTCTTTTTTGTTTTGTTTTGTTTTCAAGACAGGGTGTCGATGTGTAACCCTGAATGTCCCAGAATTTGCTCTGTAGACCAGACTAGCCTCAAAGTCAGAGATCTACCTGCTTCTTCTTCCTGAGTGCTGACATTAAAGGCATGTGCCACCATGCCTAGCCTCCTAAGTCTTTCTTAGTAAATAATATTTCCAATGGCTCAAGGAAACAATCCTGATGCTTATTTTGGAGTTACAATACCTACAGCCATCTATACACGAGAGCCATTGCCTTAAAAAGTATCCAGCTCTAACATCTGTCTACCCACTGCTACTGCATCATTCTTCACTTGGACTGTTCCATCCGTTCCAGCTGGTCTGTTTCTTCTAGCCTTGTCTTCCCACATTCTCAGCACAGCAACCAGAATAATGGTTTCCCATCTAAACAGAATCGTGTTGAAGATAGGAGTATATACTAGTTTAGAACTTTGCCTGGCATGCGTAAAATCCTGGGTTCAATCCTAAGCAATGGAAAAACAATGCTTCATTGTATCATGTCACTTTCTCTTTGAAAAATTCACAAGATCTCCTGAGCAAATTGGGAGGCGGGGAAGGGAACTAGGAGAATGAGAAGGGGAGAAAAGGAGGGGTGAGGAAGACATGATAGGGCAGGGAGGTTGAGTTGAGGGAAGAGCAGAAGAGAGAAGATAAGAGATACTATAATAGAGGGAGACATTATAGGTTTAAAGAGAAATCAGGTACTAGGGAAATGTCTGGAGAGCTACAAAGATAACACCAACTAACAACAGAGGAGAGGCTACCTTAAATGCCCTCTCCTGATAATGAGATTGATGACTAATTTATATGACATCGGATAGCCTTCATCCAACAGCTGGTGGAAGTAGAAGCAGACACCCACAGCTAAACCTTGAACTGAACTGGAATCCATTTGCAGAGAAGGAGGACTGATGAGCAAAGGGGTCCACACCAGGCTGGTGAAATCCACAGAAACAGCTGACCTGAACAAGGGAGAGCTCTTGGTCCCCAGACTGATACCTGGGAAACCAGCATGGGACTGATCCAGGCCCCTTGAATGTGGGTGTTAGTGAGGAGACCTTAGAAATCTATGGGACCTCTTGTAGTGGACCAGTACTTATCCCTAGCATAGGAATGAACTTTGGGAGCCCATTTCACATGTAGGGATACTCCCTGAGCCTAGACACAAGGGGGTTGGCCTAGGCCCTATCCCAAAGAATAAGACAGACTTTGAGGACCCCCATGGGGGGCCTCACCCTCTCTTGGGAGCATATAGGGTATGGGATAGGTAGGGTGTTAGTTGGGGGGGGGGCAGGGAAGGTGGGGAGGGAAAGTGACCTGGGATTGACATTTTTTTTTTTTTTTGGTTTTTCAAGACAGGGTTTCTCTGTGTAGCTAACTTTGGGAGCCCATTTCACATGTAGGGATACTCCCTGAGCCTAGACACAAGGGGGTTGGCCTAGGGGTGTTAGTTGGGGGGGGGGCAGGGAAGGTGGGGAGGGAAAGTGACCTGGGATTGACATTTTTTTTTTTTTTTGGTTTTTCAAGACAGGGTTTCTCTGTGTAGCTTTGGAGCCTATCCTGGCACTCACTCTGGAGACCAGGCTGGCCTCGAACTCACAGAGATCCGCCTGCCTCTGCCTCCCGAGTGTTGGGATTAAAGGCGTGTGCCACCAACGCCCGGCAAATGATTTTTTTTTGTTGTTTTGTTTTGTTTTTTTGGTAACCTGGGATTGACATGTAAAATAATTTTCTTTCTAATTAAATTTTTAAAAAAGGAAAAAAATCCTCCAATGATCTTTCATCTCATTCAGATGAATCCCAAACCCTAACAAGGCCCACCCAGTCAAACAGTACCTGCTGGTTCTCTGTCTTCTATCCCTCTACCTTACCTGCCCCCATGTCCTATGACCCAGCTGTCCTAGCTTCTCTTCTGTCCCTTGATTATGCTAACAGGCTCCAACATCAGGCCTTAACGGTCAATTATGGCCTCTATCTAGATTGTTCATTCCAATATGGCTGCTTGGTTATCTTTTTCACTTCCTTTGAATCTCTGTTCTAGTGACTGATCCACACCACCTCACTAAGACCCTGCATGAAGCAAACCCCACCTTTCCCTGGCCATAGCATTCCATGCCAGCTCTGAGGGCCAGAACTCAGTTTCCTTCAGTGAAATGCCCAGTGGCTTCTATACTGCTGGAGATAAAGGTTTAACGAATGAGTTGTAGAAATAACTTTGTTGGCCTTAAAAAATCAAAAAGCACTTTTATTTTCAGTTTGTTTGCTGCTGAATAGTAAATCCCAAAGATAAAGCCTCCCAAGACATCTCCTCATCACTCTCTATTACCCTAAAATTGCCTCAGTGCACCTTCGGATTATTGTCTCAGTTCTAATAGCTAAAGTGCTGGAATGTTTTTCCTAGGTACTCAGCATGGAACCAGTATGTTTTTCATATATTTGAGAGCCAGGAAGCCCTGGGTTACATTTTTGTTTTCTCTTTCATTTTTTTCCTTGTTTTTCTCAGTTTTTCTTTGTTTGTTTGTTTGTTTTTTGAGACAAGATGTCAAGTAACCCAGGCTGGCTTAGAGCTCAGTATGTACCAGAGGATGACCTTGAATTTCTCATTCTCCAGATCCACGTCCAGATTGCCACAATTCCTGGAACGCACCACACATTTGCTTATATGGTGCTGGGGATTGAACCCAGGTCCTGTGCATTCTAAGCAACTGAATTACATGCTCACCACAGGATTGTTAATTTTTAAATTACATTTTATTTGTATCTTTATTGTGTATTTATGTTTATAGATGGGCACATGCTACATTACTCGTGTGAAGGTTAAGGCTTGGTGGTAGACACCTTAATACTCAGCCATTTTGTGGCCCAAAGTTGCTAGTTATAAAGAAATAGTTTTCCTATTATTGCATGGGTATATAAACAAAGAAGGAGTACTATACTTTTATGCATTAGATGCCTTTCTGGCTGCTGTATAATTTTATGTAGTTTTAACAAAGCAATATAAATTCCCTTGAATATTAATTTAAAATGTTTTCTGATTAAACATAATGGCAGCTTAGTGAACAGTATCTTAAAAGCTTAAAAAACAAAAAATACCTAATTTTTATATTCTACATACCTATCACTAAAATTTTCATGAATGTGCTAACAGGATTTCTTTTTGCCCTTTGAAATTATGTCTGTGATTTAAACCATGTTGAATTGAATGATTATTAGGAATTATACCACCATAGATTGTACATGACCTATAGGAAAGATAAAATGAGTCACAGTTTTAGAACTCAAATAACAAAATAAAATTGATACTAGTGGTCACAAATTGCAAAACTGTGATTTCTCCACTTCTAATCATTGAAGCCAGATGCATCTACTCTCCAAAGTTCTAGCTATTTCTTGTAGCATTTATGCCATTTTATCCAGCCAAACTTCCTATTCTGTACCTCTTCAGTTCGTCTTGGGTGTTGTGGTCACCCTCTGTATTAGCCCCAATTTGCTGTGCCAATTGTGGGGGGCTGTTTTCAGGGCTACAGTGGGAACCAACCACCTTGCCCCTGGTTCATACCTGAAAGGGAAGTGTGGATTGATAAAGACAGAGACACAGGATAGAGTCAGGAGGGCAATTCAGTGAATACTGAATGCCCAGAGTTTATTCTTCACCATTCTTAAATAACTTAACCAAAAAGGAGAACATTGTATCATGTATAGGAACAAACAGACTTTCTTCCTCAATTCTCCAAGGATTCAGTAACCACACCTTAGATTCAATTTCTCATTATCTGGCCTTGAGGGGCAAGAGTAACCACACCTCATACCAAATCTGTTGTTATTTAAATAAGACACCCAAGGCCAAGATCAGACATCCTACTGTAGCTACACCTTAGACAGTTAGGTCTTATGACTTACTAAGGACATTTTTGAACTCTCTGACCTTGAGCCACTATGAAGCAGAGCCATCTTTATGGGCCCTGACAGGGTATCACCTACCCACATCCTACTAGAGAAACTGAGGAACTAGCTCCCTCCCATGAGATGTGCACAAAGGGAACCCACAGTTCCCATATTGTGCCAACTTTCCTACAAAATACACATGTCATAGCTTCCACAGTTGTGGCCCTTTGCTTATGGAAACTGCATTCAAGTAAAGCCAGGCAATATGCTGTGACCACATTTCCTTTTGCTTTTTCAAATAGCAGTAACGTTTTATGGATGTTAGTCACTAATTGTTCTACACATCTACCACAAAGGCATACATGTCTATTTTTAACACCAGTATCCTTCTGCAAATTCTTGTCCATCTGCAGCAATCCTGATGGGAGCTATTGTTTTGGGATTTCCCTGTACCATCATGTTTGTAGCCTCTTCATTCCCTTCTGGACCTGGCCACCTGGCTTCATGATGCTGTACATTTCCTTTCTTAGTCAGTTTCCTGTTTTGTGTGTGTGCGTATGTGTGTGAGAGAGACATATGCTATTGTAACTCCCTAAAGACATGAATGTAGATGATAACTTTTGAGAACTTATATAAGTCCTGCTGTGCCATAACCATTTAAATGCACACATTAAACTATTATAGAATCATAATTCAAAGTTTCATATTACTGCTATTAAGTTTCATATTGTTTCCTTCAGGTTCCATCTCTATTTGTATTGGTCTCTGCGTTTCATATTATATGTTTCCGCAGAGCCCTGGTTGGTCATCATTCATATTTAAGAAAAAGTGTGCAAAAGCTGATGGGCAGTTCTGCACACATACTTGAACCTGGTAACCGGACTTTGTGGAAGTGACTAATTACAGACCTTGTCCAGTAATTAGCAATCTGCAAATATCACCGCTTCAGATCTTTTCTCATTTCTGTAGGAGGATGTCCAAATTCCATTTCTGTAAAATATGTTTATGTGTGCTGTTTACTTTCCCCCTTTATACCAAGCAAGTGTTTGAATTGCTTTTGCCCACTCTCTGTGTACTTGAATGGTTATCCAAAAAGAAGGAAAGAAAACCTAAGATCTGCAAGTGGCATGGAGGCTTAAAGCATACTGTTGTTTGTTGAACACCACACCCAGCTGGACTGAACTTGAAAGTCCTCCAAAGCCAGCAACCAATCTGATGACTCAGAAGGAGGAAATGAAAGGCTGCGCCACTCAGTGTGTGGGGTCATGAGACAAAATGTCCAATTTTGTTCCTGCTCATAGCAGCTCATATCTTGGCTTGACTGTCATGTGCCTGCTCCTCCCTTATGTCTTCTGAGGCTTGTGTTTCTAACCATAAAAATGTTAGAGGGCAAGACAGGAGCTCACACTCTGGTTGCTTCTAACTGGAGAAAGAAGTCCATAGACTGGTGATTGCACATGTTCTAGTCATTCCAGTACTATGCTGGGTCAGATATGTAAGGAGGCAGCAAAGGCCATTGATCATTGCCTACAGCATGCCCCATCAGCCTTGTACTTGGTTATAATTTCTTTCGATTCTGAGAACTCATTACCCGTTCTTGTTCACAGCAGCATGAAATATGAATTGTCTTTTGTTGCTTTGCTTTGTGGTTTGATATTGGAATTTTAATACAAATGCAAATATTCCTAGTTCTTGGAATTCCTGCAAACCACAAATCTCTGTATTCTACTGTCTGCATTTGGAAAATGGAGTCCTAGTCCGTGCCTGAAAAGAAGAGGCAGGGTGATGATCAGATAATATGATCTGAGTAGGCAATCAGCAGAGTCTGGCTTTGTATCTGCACAAGAAATGATGGAAAGCTTTCCTCTGGTCCTTTAGCTGGAAGGCATTTTAAACCAGAAACCCCCAAAAAGCTAAGTTCAGTCATTAATTACATTAACAGGTAAAGCTTGCATCCCTTGGAGTAGAACATGTCCTACTTCCTCAAAGCTTTTAGGCTGATATTTCCGATTGTAAGCCATTCAAATCCTTTTAAAGATTAGGAATATCAATTACCGAGTAAATTGCTATCTATTTCTTTAGAAATGGTTCTGAGCACTGAAAAGCGTTCACAAGGCTTTGTGCAGAAACGGTCACACTTTACCAGTTGTAACGAAAACTATTGATTGTATTTTGATACCAGTAAAAATACAGTTTTTAAAAGTCAAATGAGTAAGGACACACCAATTAGTTGTTATAATTGTATTATAATCTCAAAAATAAAAACTAAAAAAAAAGTTAAGTCAAGTGACTAAGAATGTAGCTTTGAACCCATAAAGTATCAAGAAAAAGCCATTATATTTACACAAAGATAGATTTATTTTTTTAAATTGCTTTTTAGGGGGCTCAGTGGTTAAGAACATGTACTACTTACTATTGCCGAGGACTGGAGTTCAGTTCCCAGCACACACTTCGAGCAATCACAGCTGCCTGTATCTCCAACTCCAGTCAAATCCAATGGCCCTGGCCTCCTGGCTTCTACAAACACCTGTACTCACATGCACAAAGCCACACCCAGATATGAACAAGTACACCTAATTAACAACAATACAGAAAAATCATTTAAAAGTACTTCTCAAGGTATTTAGAGTGGATGAATGATTATACATTTGAAATCATCTAAGGCTAACTTTCAGTTTAAGTGTGTTAAAGCTTCCAAGGCACAATTAACAAAACTGCATGTCAGAAAACTCTGTGAACTATAAATAAGGCACATTTACTTCACACATAGAGCAGGGTCTCCACTTGCCAAGTGCAGAGTAGCCTCTTATCCATGACCCATGGCAGAAGGACGTTTATAAATCTTTCATTTTCTTAACATGACCCTAAAGCCAAAAAAATATGCTTGGGGCAGCTCAGCGACTTATAGTCCTGGCGTAGGACTATTTCTATGCTGTTGACTACCATCTCTTTAGAAGGATGTGAGTCTGGGCTGAGATGGTCATTTCCTGAGGGATACTGCAGCAGAACTACAAGTCAAACTATTTTTCTAACAGGTATTCAATGGCATTAGAAGTAACTCACCGCAACTACAGAAACTGTGCAGTCGTGTGAATGTAACCAGTGAGTTCAGATCTACTGGAAACACAATGAAGGTCTTATTTTTCACCGATGGATCCCGGCCATATGGAGGCTTCAGTGCCTCCTATACCTCCAGTGAAGATGCAGGTGATGTAGGATGCTGCAAACTCACTTCCGTCAGTCAGACTCACTCAGTGCCCCCCCCATCCCCCGCAAAGGCTGCCCCAAACAGCCAAGCCTTCTGCTTTCTCTGCAGTGGTCAAAGTATACCTGGGATCTTCAACACAAGAGCAACATTTTTGAGTGAACAGAAAATCTGCCTTGTGGGGTGTTTCAGAAAAAAAAAAA